AGGAGGAGGAGGAGAGAGAGAGAGAGGGAGAAAGAGAGAGAATTTCTTAAGAAACTCGTGACTATGATGTTTGGAGAGTTAACGTATTCCATGCGTCAAAGTCATCGTCGCAAATGAATTTTTTTATCCGGCGATTATGATCCTTTTTTAAATTTTTTTTTTTTATTTTTAACAGCCACGTTTCGTCGGACGTTGAAAATACTTTAAATAATACGGTGTGCGCAGAAATGATCGGTGTTATTTTTGTACGGAAGCGAACAATGGCTTCTGTTCTATAGAAGCGACCAGGTATAAATAACGTATCGCCCCTGTGTATAGCCCTTTTGTCCTGTATCGTGCCGTGTCACCTAATCATTATTGCAACTATCTGGGAAAGAATACTTATAGCTGCTATAATACAATACGCAACACATCAATCGTTGCATTTACCTGTGTCAAAAATAGAGAAACGAGAGAGGGGAAAAAAAATTCTATTTTTATATTTAAATTTACAAACTTCGTATTTAAAAATACGATCCTCTTTAATTTTTCCAATCCAATCGATCGTACTTTACTCGCTTTCTTATTATCATACCGCCTGTGCGTATCCACGAATCTATTCTCTTCTGCCTGATCTTTATTCAGGCGACCGCACCAACGATACCGCAATGTAAATTTTCCAAAATAAGAAAACAAGGTTCCAACCCACGCGACCTGGGGCGCATTGTTCGCGCCGCTTGGGAACAGGTTGAATCGGCAACGATTTCAGGTTGACGTGCGTGCGCAAGGGCCACGTACGCGCCACTGGCACGCGTGACACGCATCTCATTGCGAATAGGTCACGGAGTTCGTAAGAACTCGACTACCTTGCGTTTATAGTGCGGTCACGGTGGAACGCAGCGATCGTTTTCTTGCGCCAGTGTTCATGAGATTCTCGACGAAGGAACGCGAAACGCGTCGCTATCGGCCGTTAGCGATGATGCACACCGCCTCTGATGTGTAACGATCGGATCGGTATCGAGGCGGTACATCATCCGCGAGCTAACAAGAACGAGCTAGAGAGCTTTTCCGCGCTCGATGATTTACGCATCGATCGGTGAATGTATAAAATATTGAAATTGATTATTTTTCTCGAGGATATGCAGCTCAATTGCAGCGATAGTTTCGGGTTTAATTTATTGATCTGATTTCGCAGAGTGTAGGATGAATATTAATATAAATCGAACATGAGAGAAATATAAATTCGAAAATGGAGTTCACTAAAGAAAATGAATTCGCGCGTGGAAACTTCTTAGATTTACAAAAATTTAGAACGTTGAACGAAGAATGCAATATCTCTGCGGATGTTTGTATTTTTCACAGGAAATCTTGCGCTTTTTTATTAAAATTTTCAAACAATTCTGCGCCAACTGCGGAAAACAACGAAAGATCCACTTTATATTCTTGAGATAGGTACTGATGTTACAACGGATAGAAGATGAAATTATAGTAGATTTTACCCAGCCCCCTTTGTACGGATTTGTAGCAAACTGCATGTAAATAGAAATATTCGTAAAACGTTGCAATTTCTCGGTTCCGTTTGTTGGAATATCCATGGAAAATCTGCAATAATGTTATATTTATTTCGAGCACCTTGTTTTCGTGCATCACGAATAACCATTGCTCGTGTTGTCAATTTGTAAAATCATATTGTTAATCCCACGTTGTACACGTTTATATTTCATTTTATAACGCGCAATTTCACGTGCACGAGCTTAACAATACATTTCATATAATTCATAAATCATTAACGAGAAATTTCAACGAGATAGAGATTATACGTTGAAATGGACAAAATTATTGCCACTTGGATAGTTGGAGCATTTGCCGGGAGGTGGCAGCACCACCTTAGCCAAGATCGCAACATAGATGGTGGGAGAAGCAGTATGGCGCAGAAGCGTGGCCGCAGTCGATTGTGCGACGTTGAGTTGGTTAGTGCCGCCTGTAACTTCGTGTTAGAAAGGCGAGTATTCAACGATTTTCTTCGACCAATTGACACATCGAATTATCTTGTGTGAAATGAGGTACGTAACTCGTTTATATTTTTCTCTAACGATCATGTTCAAGCGTGCTTTTATCGATCCATCAACCTGGCCGTTTGACCGGTTCCTCTATCATTAATTACGCGAAGAAATTAGTTCGTTTTTGTAAGTTTCTGTCGTCGAGCGATAATTTCATAGTGACATTTATTCGGATTAATATTCGTTAATAAGCTATTTATTATGTGTCTAACGTATCATTAGAGTTTCATAGATAAAATATCGACATATGGTCGTGTTGTAGCTCATCGCGTGTTATGTCGAGATTCAACCATAAACGTCGCGAGTTCAAACCTCCTCCCGGAGCGGGAAATTTTTTTTCACATTTCTTTTTCGTTACGATTCATTTAACCTCTTCGGCGGTATCTCGGCACATTACGAAATATTATTTATATACGTATAACTTGATACACGTATATAAATAATAAATGCGTAATTTATATTAAACTATATTCATTACTAAACACAAAATAACAACAGTTTCACGCATTTTCGTTCACAGATTACCTATCCATAGGCAGAAAATGAAAACATAAATAAAACGTTGCGCGTAACTTCGTTTCGGATCGAAATAATTGAAAATGCCGTTCACAGCGGATGCTGCGGCCAGCCAGATACAGGAACGATTGAAGAACTTATACCACCTGGTACACGAAATCGAAACGCAACGGGTACGTTCGGAGCACAATCTGAACAACATTATAAAGACTTACGAGAAGGTGACCCCGGAAGACAAAGTGTCCCCCTATTACCAGCAGAAATTGAAGAATCTCTACAACGCGGCAATAGGCGATTCCCAACAGGAGGAGGAGATATTGCGTAAAGCTTTGGGGAAAATCAACGAGATTCGAGCAATTAGGAACGAGCGGCGGATACAGGCGCGGAATGCGGGGAACAAAGAAACCATTCGCCGAGGTGCGCTAATGAAGATGCTGCTGAGCACCGCACAGACGCTCCCTCTGTACGTGGGCAAAACACCGGGGGCGAAACCACCCCCCCTTTGCGGAGCGATCCCAGCGGAGCCTACGTATATCGCGAAAATGGGAGACATGGTCGCAGCCCTGGTTAAAGGTTCGGAGGAAGAGGAAAACTGGATCTTGGCCGAAGTGGTGCAGTTCAATCCGACGACGAACAAATACGAAGTGGACGACATCGACGAGGAACAAAAGGACAGGCACACGTTGTCGAGACGAAGAGTGGTGCCTCTTCCATTGATGAGGGCTAATCCAGAAACGGATCCCCACGCTCTCTTCCCCAAAGGGTCTATCGTGATGGCGTTGTATCCTCAAACGACCTGCTTCTACAAAGCAGTGGTGAATCAATTGCCTACCACAGCCACCGAGGAATACGAAGTCTTGTTCGAGGACGCGACATACGCGGACGGATACTCGCCACCTTTGAATGTCGCGCAACGTTACGTAATTTCTATCAAGGAGAGCAAGAAGAACAAAAGCCAATGTTAACGGACAATCTATTTCTCGCGTCAGTATTATATACCCGACGATTGTTTGTACTCGCTTACCGATCAGTACAAACGTTCGTTTTTGTACAAGAGACTGCACTGATTACTTATATAATAAAGTTAACGATTTTCGATAATAATTGTCGCCCATCGTCGCCCATCGTTCGAGCATCGAGCGTTCCACTCTCTATCCTCGTCTTTATCACTTGTCCAAATCCTCCTCGAATGGAAACTGTTGTTCGAGCAAGTACTTTATTTTTCGATCTAATTATCCCCTTACTGCGTATCGATATTTTTAACGAAATCACACGGTTTGTGCCGTTAAGCTTGGGGGCCGGAGCTGAATCGAGGGCTCGTGATCCAAGGAAATAACCACGTACTGAGAGTTGGGATCCCGTTTCCGCGATACTCTTGCTATCCTCGCTGATGGTAATTGGCGTAGATTATATAACGATAATAGCGGCATTCTTGTACACGCGGGTGGATCTTAACATGGATTGGTTTGACCTTTCGTGGAATCGATCCTCCGTGACTCCTTTCGGCCGAGCGATTTCTTCCTGTACGGAATAACTCTTCTTTTTTTCGTGCTGACGCGACCAAGACAGAGAACAAAGAGAGAGAGAGAGAGAGAGAGAGATTTTTGGTGGCTCGCAGGATTTTGGAGGAAGGGAGGAAGAGGGGCTGAATTCGACGCGAGACTGAAAGGCGAGCCGCCTGGTTCGCCATCGAAAAAGGGACGCAGAACGAAAGAGAGTGGCGTGCAATAATTGATTCCATAATCGGTGGCTGCCGCCAGACATCAAAGTGACTCGGTACCCCGTTCCAACCCCTAACAGACTGACCGGGCCGATCTTCATTCATTATTTAACTTAACTAGTCCTGCTCGAAGTATCATAAAAAAGCGGCTCCGCTTTCGTCGACACGTACTTTGCCGGATTTCTTCCTTGAAATCGCCCGAATCGCTTCGACGATCCTTTTCAATAAAGCATTCTCGTTAAGGATCAGAGAACGTAAGTGTATATATATAAGGATCGAAAGTAAGTATAATAATTATGAAAATTATTACTAATTACTCGTTACGTCGTTCTAGGAGCAATAATCGAAATAATGAACAACCACGTACACGAATTTATTATTACATCGACGAAGAAAAACGGCCATTTCCAAGCGCGATGCGTTAACCTCTTCGAAGTAACGACGACGTGTGAAGCCATTTCCAGTCGAGGGAATTAATTCAAGCATCGCGATTAGCTTTCGCGAATTCTGAACGACTTGCGCAACGGCCACGTGTACGCGTACCCCTATAGACACGCGTATCTCGAAGGGAAGTCGACCTAATCGAACCTCCACGAATCGAGTTCCTGCGGCTGGTGGCCGATACAAGTGGATTCGAAGCATGCAAGCGGCCGGAAGCTAAAACGAACTTGCACCAGGGCACGCGAGCTCCTTCCTTTTTCCACCCTCGCTTCGAACACAGGTTTCCTCTTCCCTTCCTTTCATTCGTTCCACGTTCTCAGTTATCTCGGGTAATTCCTCTTCCAGGCGGTTTTCGCCCTTCTTCCCAACCCCCTTCCTTTTCTTCTCTTCTCTTCTTTTTTCTCTTCCCCGACCCGATGTTCTCGCGGCGCGACCCGCTCCTCCAATAATGGCGCGCGGTATTTTTCTTTCGCCACTTCGTAATTACCGGCCGTGCGCCAGCCGAGGAATATTTTATTTCGCTTCGAAACGATCGATCCACCGACCCTGGTATCTGTCACTGCGGTTCGCCGCCCGAGCTGTTCCGCCATTCGCTCCCGGCCATCATTAGTCTTCCTTTCGATAAATTGGCGGCCAGATGCGGCCCCGTCGAGGTGTCACCTTTGCGGCTTCCCCCGTTTTCTCGGCCAAGGATGGGGGGATAATGTCCGGGGCTTATTAACGTTCTGATGCAACCACTTCCGGTAACGAAGGGAAGGAAAAAAATTATTTTGCGTCGAACGAACGCGTTTCTAAATTCTAAATTTCTTAGATAAATTCGTGCAGAAATTTTATGGAAATTACGCGTTAATTTTCGCCTCGTAACAAAGGAGAGCTCGTTTTTAAGAACGAGGCAGGTCTCGATGAGAAAATCGGAAACCGATGAGCCGAGCCGTAGTTGAACCCTTCCCCCTCTCCTGATATTCCAGGAAAAGGGATTATACGATGTCCGTGCGTCGGACAGCCCGAGTAGATTTTCATTTTTTTCTTTTCCTTTCTTTTTTTTCTTCTTAATTAATACAAGCCCGTACAATGGTACGGCGGAGAAGGTCGATAAGGGCGGGTAACGAGCTGCCAACGTCTAATCCAATCCCGACGTCGAAAACTGTCAGGATTCTTGCAGGACGTGTAATGAGTTCTGGCCAAGAAAAATCTAGATGTTAATAACTTTTGGCCTTTGAACGGAGGGTGGGTTTGAACCGCGGATCGACCGAACGAAAAAGTGGAAAACAATACCCGTTATCCGCTTCTCGTCGACACCTTGAACGAATGGGGTAAATTTCTAAACAGACTTGGACACTAAAGCTATCTATGCCACGATGCCTCTTTTTTCCTGCTCGATCGAAAGCCGGCGACGCTTTAGACGAAATAGGGAGCCGCTTGTGAACGGTTCGAGACGATTTTTAAATTCGATTCTATCCCGTTGCGCGAGTCGAGGAACGCGATATCGCGGGGAGGATCAGATGCTGGATTCGAGCAAACTTGTTTGAATAAATAAGGGTCACGAGGCATCTCGATCTAATTGCTGTACCCGGTATCATTGGTTCACGTGGGACACGAGGCAGTTTCCAACTGTGTGGAAAGCGGCACGGTACATAGATTATTAATCTTGTCGCGACCAATCGATAACTCGTACTCGAAATCTTACAGTTCAACGAAAGGGACTGGTTTTAGGTTAATAGGTCTCGGTAGAGGCACGAGTTGGTAATTCGATTGCCTCCGCTAATGCAGCATCAGGCATTCTGGATAATTGAATGCGACGTTATAACGATCCGTGAGTAATACAGGTTTTCTTTTCTGTTTTAGAGAATAACGATTTCTTATTTCCCGTATTTCAACGGGACGTTTATCTTTTCACGCCAGTTTCGATTTCAATCTCTCGTTCGACATTCAGCGTTTCGAACATGGGAACCAAAGGAAGGAGAGAGCGAGAGAAGGGGTGGGAGTGGGATGAGCCATCGAGAGGGCGAATAATTCATAAGCGGGCGGTTTCTCGTTAATTAATTGCATTTGCCAATGAAGGCGGGGCAGTTTGAAACTTCCTTCATAATTCAGACGTATAATCGGTTATCGCGATCGTTATCTCGCGTTGCGGCGCGATCCTACATATATACGTCCCCGGAAATTAGCGTACGCTTTTACGACTTTCTCGCCGAAGGAATTTTAATCTCGTGGACAACGTCGCCGGTGCTGTTTCCGTTGTCGTTGCGACGAACGATTCGAAATTTAACCGGGTCGCAACGATATACAAAATGCGCGATAATATTGAAACCGGAATGGGAGAGGGAGAAAAAAAAAAAAAAGAATTCCTCAATGGACGTTTTATATTTTTTTCGAAAAAGCAATTTTAAACGGTTGCCGGGTTCGTGCATACTTTATTTTATTACCGGGCATATTGTATTATCTTTCGATCGAAAAGCCGGAAAATTTGAAATTTCGAAAGTATGAATTAAATATCTTGATTGAACTTTTTCGATGTGATAAAAATATTTCATCGAGGGAAGGTGAATTTCGTCCAATTTCCATTATTCCAAAATTGAAACGGTTAATATTCGAGGTATCGCGCGAAGAATAATTTATATCTGTCTCGCGGTATATACGCGATAATACGGTTTAAGAACGGACACGCTGTTTGCCAAAAGTGTCACGAGCGTGTTGTTATCTCTCGAAACGAGAGGAGGAGGAGGAGAAGAAGCGTCTCGCGATTGAAAAGTGCATCGGCTGCTGCGGGGATAAATAAAAATCCGTTGGACGATAATATCGCGGGTGTTGGCCATTAATCACCGACGGCCGCGCATACCTTTTCCAGGTCAACAAACTCGCCACGTTTCAATTCACAAGTCGGCCATATTTGCCGGCCGTTGCGGAGACCGATGGCCTTTCGCGAAGTTACTTATTTCTGGACCGTGTCCACGGTCTCAGTGGGTCACTGGATACGTCTAGTTCCACGGCGGATGATTAATTCCAACCTCCCATCAGGGATATTAGTTTTTAATGCGGCGTCCTTGTCGTGGGGATTATAATAATTAGCTCGGTGTCGCGCGTGGGCCAACTGGCTGTACGACGTCCCAATCGTGTCGTCCATCGTTGTTTCCTCTCGCTCTGCTTGCTCTCGAGGAATAGTTACAGTTCGCGTTTATCCGAATTTGTAAACGCGTATATCGCGGTTCGAAGTTGCGAAAACCGAACCCATTGCGTTTCGTTTCAATTTATTTCGATTACGCGGCGGATAATTAAAATTAGATTCATCTTATCAAGATCGTCATCTGCCTGGATTCTTCGAGTAAATCGCCTGTTGGAAAATTAATTTCGACACTCGGAGTACAACATTATCCTGTCCTCGTTTCAACTTCGTTCATATTCGTTTATCCCATATTTCGAACTGGACAACTCGTTTTAACTCGTACGTGACTTTTTGAAATCGGGACGTAACGAGATCCTCTTCTGCCTCACTGGCAACAACGTGATACGTGAGATAAAATACGTCTTCATCAGGCAATTTCGAACGTTTTGTCTGCATCTTCGTTCTTGGAAACTTCAATCGAATACGTAAGAAGAAACAAGGTTAATCGGTACGAAATTCCGTGTAAGATTTCGCGCGTGCTGTAGAAACTTGAACTTGGAACTTTCTCGGTAAAATGCTCAACGCTTTAACATCAACCGTATAACTTCGTCTCGCGCCAAGTGGAAATGTCTTTCGTTCCCAACTCTTAGCTACTACTTGTTCTATCCAACTGTCATTAAGCTCAATCATCGATGTATAATAGCTACGTATTCTCCTGCGGATAATGTTGCAGCTATTATTCCGATGTTTTCATGTACAAAGCTTTGTACACCGTCATATCGTATCCATTATTACCCACAATTTGTTATTTACGTTTAAGACAGTGATAAATGAACGTTG